TTATATGTAAATAATATATTAACATTCATAAGCTCTGAGACAAGAACAACATTGTACATACTGTATATGATGATATTTAACTTAGAGAAACCATTGGTTAAAGCCTGGCAACAGTTCAATAAAGTAAATATTTAGGCACAGAAATGCGCTGTTTGAAAAGATTTTGTATATAATCTTTATTCTGTACCTGTGTATGTCTGGAGTTTTACTTGTATAATTTAAATGACACCTGTTGAAAAGCAACAAACGATAAGTGAATCAAAATTTTGCCTTAAAATGTAGAAATGTACGATATCCTGCTCACAGACTTTATGCAACAAATAACTGTATAATTGTACGCATTGTCGTAGTAACCGTTTATAAAATAATCATTGTAATAAATTTAAATTTGTTCGGAACAAAGAATTAATTGTGAAAATGGTTTAACTTGTATATTTTCTATTTTATGATTTATGTTATGAATAATGAGTCACACTGACGCAAATGGTCAAATCACTTCGTAAAGAATAGACAGTCATGAGGACGGAAATACTGTCAAATGTCTTTAATATAAATAATGAGTCACACTGACGCAAATGGTCAAATCACTTCGTAAAGAATAGACAGTCATGAGGACGGAAATACTGTCAAATGTCTTTAATATAAATAATGAGTCACACTGACGTAAATACTGTCAAATGTCTTTATTATGAATAATGAGTCACACTGACGTAAATACTGTTAAATGTCTTTAATATAAATAATGAGTCACACTGACGTAAATACTGTCAAATGTCTTTATTATGAATAATGAGTCACACTGACGTAAATACTGTTAAATGTCTTTATTATGAATAATGAGTCACACTGACGTCAATACTGTCACATGTCTTTAATATGAATAATGAGTCACACTGACGTCAATACTGTCACATGTCTTTAATATGAATAATGAATCACACTGGCGTAAATACTGTCAAATTCCTTTAATATGAATAATGAGTCACACTGACGGAAATACTGTCAAATCTATTTTTTATGAACAGCGAGTCATACTGACGGAAATACAGTCACATCTTTGTTTTGAATAGAGAATCACACAGACGGAAATACTGTCAAATTCTCTTTGTTATGAATAAAGAGTCGCACTGTCATGAAATATTGTCACATCTTTTGGTTATTAATAATTATTTTGAGATAAAGTTCTTCAAGGGAAAATACTTGAAATGTAAAAGTTTGCTTTATAAAAAACATCATATGTTTCTCATATAAGTATGCACTGACTGAATATTAATCCACAACCGGCTCGCATTTCCTTTGAAGTTGTAGTATTTTTTATATCATGATATTTGCACACTTGCACTGACCAGTCGTTAGCAGCATATAGCCAATACACAACTTTTTTGGACAGTAGCACAAGTATGGAAATACAGTCAAGTGTAACAGATTGATATCATAAAATGACTTTCTCTTTATGGGACATTAAATATAATTAAGCCCCGGTCACCTTAAAAAGGATCTGTACAAATTCAACATTATTATCTAAGTAAACGTGTCGGGGTTCCTCAGATTTTGATCAGCTAGTGTTTCAATAGCTACGATAACGTAGCCTCAATTTGTTTTGTTGTGGTTGAGGCTACGAACTGATCCCATATCATGTAATGGAGCAAAAAAAAATCCTCATTAAAGTCAGAAACACAAATAGTTTAGAAATCTACTAAATCAGTATAATCATTTTGTCAAAGAAGTTTGGCTTATTTTGAATTTATTAAGCCCCCACACGGTAAAATAAATTGGAATAGTTATGCTAACCTCACCGTGTCCACCATGACAGATAATGCGAGACTCCATGACACCTTTTTTACATAAGGCTTGCCAGACTATATATGGATATTCTACGTTATGGTATTAGTTGTTGAATGATATAACGCGAAAAGATGGAGAATGTATGTTTGCATAAATTGCGGAATACAGTTTTTGTTGAGAAAATAATTGCTTCTTGGTGGAATTTCAAAGTCACCGGTAAACCGTATTCACTTTTAATGCGCAGAATTTTCGACTTAAACCGCGCCATATTTTTTACAACGATCTGTTTACGTTTCCAAATTAGACCTTAACGTCCTTATATGGCACACAAACAAACGAGGCTGAGAACGGAAGTAGGCATTATTTGAACTAATATGACTGACGATCAAAACGAATAATATCGGATAAGAAATGTAGGCTAAACGAGATTTTACCACTATTTCTACAATGATATGCGATAATTCCAGTATTAAATAAGAGGGCTACTCAATTTATTTCATTATATATCAAATAACATGTTCAAAAGATTTTATATTAGGCTAAAAAAAAGCCGGGTGTGAATCACACCTGTCTGCTCCAGTTACACACATAGACTCATTTTAGTGCCCTGTCCACAACGTAGGACTAAGGGTACTAATATTAGTACTAGTGTTTCAAGTGAAATTGAAATTTAAAATAATTATATTATTGACACACGCAAATACTTCTATTATTATTACTATTATTATTATTATTATTATTATTATTATTATTATTATTATTATTATTATTATTATTTCACCTGCTTATTCAAATAATTTTTTTGATAATAGTACTGTGTTTCTATGAAATTTATGATATGCAGATATTTCTGTCTTGCTTGTCATCCCATATATGCATTATGGCTGCCATCTCATATATGCATTATGTCTGTCATCCCATCCCATATATGCATTATGTCTGCCAATCCATATATGCATTATGTCTGCCATCCCATATATGCATTATGTCTGCCATCCCATATATGCATTATGGCTGCCATCCCATATATGCATTATGTCTGCCATCCCATATATGCATTTTGTCTGCCATCACATATATGCATTATGTCTGCCATCCCATATATGCATTATGTCTGCCATCCCATATATGCATTATGTCTGCCATCCCATATATGCATTATGTCTGCCATCCCATATATGCATTATGTCTGCCATCCCATATATGCATTATGGCTGCCATCCCATATATGCATTATGGCTGCCATCCCATATATGCATTATGTCTGCCATCCCATATATGCATTATGTCTGCCATCCCATATATGCATTATGGCTGCCATCCCATATATGCATTATGGCTGCCATCACATATATGCATTATGTCTGCCATCCCATATATGCATTATGTCTGCCATCCCATATATGCATTATGGCTGCCATCCCATATATGCATTATGGCTGCCATCCCATATATGCATTATGGCTGCCATCCCATATATGCATTATGGTCCACATAGTTGCAGTTTTGTTTTAAAGCTATGAAAGTCAAATATTTCCCAGAGTTCTTTGCAAGTAACCCTAGAGCATCCTAGATCATCAAACGCCAGTTTTGGATATTCAGTGCTCTAAGTCTGTGTATGTGTATATTTTGCAGCATAGAGAACTAGCCCCAGACATTCAATTTTTGGAACGTCTGGATCCGTCAAATTACTTTTCCACTATTGGTCATAAAGGAAAAATTTCGGTGGCAAAAAGTGATTTAAAAAAAGCTTTCATATCCACAATTTGAAGGAGTTAAAGAAGACGAGAATAAAAACGAAACCAGATGATAGCTTCTTCTATAGTCATCAAGTTTTACTGTTTTAATGTTGTATTGATTCATCTTGAAAATAATTATTTTTATTTGCAATGTTGGGGTTCAGTTTTCTCACGGAGATTTCATATTTCCCCATATAAACCCCATTCCCACCCAATCCCCATGGAATTTAGGGACTAATTCAGTTCCCATCGTAAACCTATGCAAACAACATAATATTAAAAATTCAATAACATTAAATTTCTGAGTGCCCATGATCAACCTGCATTTATCAGCATAGATGAAACCTGGATGTCAGCTTCGGTGTAGAGGAAATGATATTAGTCGCGGCATTTTCTGTACCTGCATGTGTTTGAAACATGTGCTTTCAATTCCGAACCATAGAGACAGATGCTAATTTTAGTAAGGAGTGTTCCAAACTCAAGATTGATCAAGGACTGAAATTCCATCAATTAAAGAATGTCCGTGTTTTGTTGTTGTTGTTTTTTTTACTTACAAATAAGATTTTTTCCCTAAAACATTAATAACAAATCCTGGCCACCCAAACCCATATATATTGTGTTTAAAGTTCACCCATATCCAGGCGGGTTCCCATTTTTCCATACCATTAATACCGTGTGTCCATATGGACCCCATATTTCCATACCATTGGTACCGCGTGTCCATATGGACCCCATGTTTCCATGCCATTAGTACCGCATATCTATATGGACCCCATGTTTCCATACCATTAGTATCGCGCGTCCATATGGAACAAATATTTCCATACCATTAGTACCGCGTGTCCATATGGACCCCATGTTTCCATACCATTAATACCGCGTGTCCATATGGACTAAATATTTCTATACCATTAGTACCGTGTGTCCATATGGACCCCGTGTTTCCATACCATTAATACCGCGTGTCCATATGGACCAAATATTTCCATACCATTAGTACCGTGTGTCCATATGGACCCCATGTTTCCATACCATTAGTACCGTATGTCCATATGGACCCCATATTTCCATACCATTAATACCGCGTGTCCATATGGACCCTATGTGTCCATACCATTAGTACCGCGTGTCCATATGGACCCCATTTTCCAACGGCTGAATGTCAATGATTTTCAATGCTAAAGGCTACAGAGAACTTTATACTGGGCATATACTCAAAAACATTCAGAAATTATTGTGTGTGATTTGTATTTTTAATGCAACTTTTACAATTTTTCATTCATATCGCAACAATGTTTGCAGTGTGGCAGTTTATACTGATACCTAGCACTGGGACATCATGCCACAGACAGCATTATGTCCCACCAGGCCACATTATACTGACACCTTCCCCATCAGTTCTGACACTAAACTCCTAATGCTGAGCGCCAAGCGAGGCAGCTACTAGTAAGATTTTTTGACAAGTCTTTGGTGGTATGGCTCGACTGGGGTTCGAACCCACGACCTCCCGCATCAGAGGCGGATGCCCTAACTACTTTGTTCACCGGAGCAATCACGGACATTATTGACACATTGAGTTCGGCAATGTATCATTATTATTATTATTATTATTATTATTATTATTATTATTATTATTATATATATATATATATATATATATATATATATATATATATATATATATATATATATATATATATATATATATATATATATATATATATATATATATATATATATATATATATATATATATATATACACTTGCATCTCACCTATAACGTATTTTTGTATCGTGTACCGATATGTACATTTGGCTAGTGGCATGTATTACAAATATTATACTTATTATCGACATGTGTGGTATATAGAATTCACTGTCTATTTCTCTACCTGCCCTTCCTAATGCATTGAAATTACTGATTAAATCAGAAATGCATGTTGATATAGATCAAGAGAGATGAATGTGTGTTGTGGTTCTTGTGACGTACCTCGAGTTTTGTTTAGATTTGCATATGAAGGTGTTTCGTGGTTTCTTTAGATTTGCGTATGAAGGTGTGTAGTGCACCAAGAAATGCTTCTTGAGACATACCTTCCGAATTCATATTAATTGTTTCATCCTGAGATGGAGGTGTGTTAATTGCTGTCGTGACGTAACTCCCAAGATGTCTTAAAAAAATTACTCAAACAAATCTTGTCCAGGCTTAGGGATACATATGTGAAATATTTTACACTTGTTATAACTTATCACCTAAAGAAAATATTTTACGTTGTTAAATAAAGAGAAACAGAATCTCAACTCTTAGCATCGGTTGAGCATACACCATACCAGTGGGTACGCTTTATCGATGATATAGAAATGAAGTGGCAGTATGGAAGAGAAAGTCTGGATGACTTCATATCAAAGGCAAACAACTTCCATCCTTCAATAAAATTCACGGCAGAAATTTCCAACTCAAACCATGTTTTCCTGGACTTAACAACCAGACTGGTGGAAAACAAATTACACACAGACATCTACTCGAAACCAACCGACAAACACCAGTATCTCCTCCCAACCAGCTGTCATCCAAAACACTACATTAAGAACATTCCATATAGCCAGGCACTGAGGATACGCAGAATTTGCTCCGACGATGAAAGATTCCTAGAAAGGTCTGAAGAGCTGGCTAAACATTTAATTTACCGAGGCTACGACAAAGACCTGATTGCGGAGGCAATCCAAAGGGCCAAACAAACAAACCGTGATGACCTACTCAGATATGGTCAGAAAGAAAAGGTTGATAGGATACCATTTATTCTGACCTATCACCCAGACAATCCCAAAGTAGGTAAAATCATCGCAAACCACTGGCCACCCGTGCTCGTCAGACATACTAAACCTAATACTTCCGAACAAACCTGTAGTAGCTTACCGGAGACCAAGAAACCTAAAGGACAGTCAGAGCAAAGCTAGCGCCAATCGCTAGTCAAAACCAACCTAGTCAATCTGGACCCTGTGGCGATAAAAGATGCAAAACCTGTCAACATATGATAGAGACCAAGACATTCACTAGCACAGTGACTAAAGAAAAACTAAACATTCATGGTCCAAACAAAACGTGCAAAACTGAGAATGTGATTTATCTCATCACATGTAAGATCTGTGGCCTTCAGTACGTCGGAGAAACTGAAAAGCTGCACAAAAGGATAAACCTTCATAGATCTGATTGGATGACTAAAAAAGCTGTACAGAAGCCCGGTCGCAAAACACTTCTCCTCCCCTGGCCACACTTTCAGTGATATAATACTTATCGCTATTGCTAACAACCACAGCTGGAGTTCCGAAACCAGGAAGGAAAAGGAATCATACTGGATACGCCGCCTTGTAACATTGAAACCAAGCGGTCTAAACCAAGAAGACTAGAAAATGAAAACTATGCACTAGTAGAATTTAACATTTTCTAAATCTTCTTATTATCCTTCAATTTTTACTATAAGAATAACCGGTATAGAATCAAATATTCGGGATATAATCTGCGTTACATATGTACAATAAGTTAATATAGATGTCGCTTTGGCTTGTAGACTTTTAGGGAATTATACAACGTTTTCAGTTTCCACAACTAGTCTATACAAGCTGGTTGTATTTATAGTTTTAGCACATGTGAAGACAGCCATGTAGAGGTTTACCAACACAACGTTTTTGTGTTTATTTGTTTGTCCTATATATGTTTTGTATTTGCCTTTGAAAAAGACTAATTAAGAGTCGAAAGCGCTTAGGCTAGTTAGTTACTAGTTTCGTACTGTTCGTCGTCAGTTTATTGCATCTATATATATATATATATATATATATATATATATATATATATATATATATATATATATATATATATATATATATATATATATATATATACACAGACACAGAAATACTGACTGTGTAATATATATATATATATATATATATATATATATATATATATATATATATATATATATATATATATATATATATATATATATATATATATATCAAAGACTGCTAGAGCTGTTCACATATCACGACCTGTGCATTGCAAACACCTTCTTCAAGTGTACGCCACAACACAAAGTGTCATGGAAACATCCCAGGTCTCATCGCTGGCACCAACTCGACTTAGTCATCACCAGGCGCTCTGCCCTGAACAGCACCCTCTCCACCAGAAGCTACCATAGTGCAGACTGCGACTCCGACCATGCCCTTGTGTGCAGCAGGGTGCGCCTACAGTCACGAAGACTACACCGCTCTAAACCAAAAGGTCGCCCTCGCATCAATAATGTGTAGATGTCTATCCCCTCCAAGGTGGAAGAGTATGTGCCCACTCTGGATCACGCTCTCCATGACCTGCCAGAGCAGGATGCTACAGCCAAGTGGAACACCATGAAGGACGCCATCACATCCATTTCGACATTTGGCAAGAAGGAACGGCTCTGCCAGGACTGGTTTATCGCACACCTTTCAAGAATTTAACCAGTAATCGATAACAAACGGAAAGCCTTCAAAGCTTACAAAAAATGCACTAACAAACGTACACTTGCTGCCCTCAGAAGAGCATGAAGCATCACCAAACGCATCGCTAGACAGTCAGCAAACGAATAATGGCAACAATTGTGCGAATGAATCCAGCGCAGTGACGAGTCAGGAAACATCCAAGGCATGTACAGTGGCATCAAGAAGGCCCTAGGTCCTATAGTGAAAGGGGTTGCTCCCCCCTGAAATCTCTGACGGGTGAGAAGATCACAGAGCAACAAATGACGAGATGGATGGAGCACTACTCAGAGCTGTACTCCCAAAAGACGTAAGTCACCGATGTGGCGCTCAGCAGCGTACAGGAACTGCCCACTATGGAGGAGCTAGACAAAATGCCTACCTTAGAGGAAATCGGCAAAGCGATTGACTCCCTCCCAAATTACAAAGCACCAGGTAGCGATAGCATCCTGCCAGAAGCCATCAAACATGGGAAAACGACATTGCTACAGCCACTGCATGAGCTACTATGCTGAGAGGAAGGAGCAGTCCCTCAAGACATACGCGACGCCACCATTGTGACCCTCTACAAAAACAAGGGAGACCGCATTGACTGTAACAATTACAGAGGAATTTCGTTTCTCAGCATCGTTGGCAAAGTGTTTGCCCGCTTCCTCCTCAACAGACTTCAGCTGCTGACGGACCGCTTGTACCCGGAATCCCAGTGAGGCTTCAGAGCAGGAAGGTCGACAACAGACATGATATTCTCCCTCCGACAACTCCAAGAGAAAAGCAGAGAGCAAGATCAACCACTCTACATGATGTTCATCGACCTCACCAAGGCCTTCGACCTGGTCAGCAGAAAGGGCATATTTGAACTTCTCCGGAAGATCGGCTGCCCCCAAAACTTCCAGCATGATAATCTCCTTCCATACCGATATGAAGAGCACAGTCCTGTATGATGGATCCACCTCAGACTCCATCCCCATAAATAGCGGCGTGAAGCAGGGATGCATGTTCACACCAACCATTTTTGGCATATTCTTCTCCCTGCTCCTGTCCCACGCCTTCAGCACGTTCACTGATGGCGTTTATCTGCACACCAGGTCCGACGGGAGGCTGATCAACCTGACACGACTGCACTCAAAGACCAAAGTGAGGCAAGTACTCATCAGGTAGAGGATCTTGTGACCCACACCGAGGATGCGCGCCAAAGACTGGGAGACCGTTTCGCTGATGCATGTAAACAGCTCGGGCTCACCATCAGCTTAAAAAAGACAAATGTCAGTGCTCAAGATGTCATCACTGCCCATTCTATCAAAATCGACGGCACTACCCTGGAAGTAGTCAATAATTTTATTTACTTTGGATCAACCATCAGCAACACTCTTTCGTTTGATGTGGAGCTGGAGAAAAGGCTTTGAAAGGCAAACAACATCATGTCCCGACTAACAAAGAGGGTGTGGGAAAACAGCGCGTTGACAGTGCACACCAAGATTCAAGTCTACCAAGCCTGCGTTCTGAGCACCCTCCTATATGGAAGTGAGGCGTGGAGCACTTACACAAGGCAAGAGCGTCAATTAAACTCCTTCCACATACGATGCCTACAACACATCCTGAAAATCGGCTGGCAAGACCACATTCCACATAGCGTGATCATTCAACATTCCACATAGCGTGATCATTCAACGTGCAAATATCCCAAGCATATACTTCCTGCTGAGCAAACGCCGCCTTCGATGGCTGGGACATGTCCGACGCATGGAGGATGGGAGGCTGCCAAAGGATATCCTATATGGCCAGTTGGCAACTGGCACCAATAGAATCGACCAGCCGTTACTCAGTTTCAGGGACTTATGCAAGAGGGATATGAAGGCATGCGGTATTTCACCAGAAAGCTGGGAAGTACAGGCCGAGGATCGTGGCACCTGCAGAATGACAGTTAACAAGGGCATAGCATTAGCTGATAGAAGGAGAGTTCAACAGGTCGCAGAGAAACGCGAGAGAAAGAAGCGTGCAGCAGCAAACCAAGCAAATCAGACTTCCCTGTACGTCTGCTCCAACTTC